AAAAAAAAAAAAAAAAAAAAATTATGTTAGGTAAAAGCAACAACTAAATGCAAGAAACAAGAAACAACATATGATTCCATTTATATAAAATGTTCAGAAAAGAGGAACTTACAGAGACAGAAAGCATGTTAGTGGTTGGCTAGCTGGGGATGAAAAGGGGGCTTGGCAATAAACAGGCATGAAGACTTTTTGGGTGTGATGGAAATGTTCTTTAAATTAGATTGTTGGCCTGGCATGGAGGCGCACTCCTGTAGTCTGAGCGCTTTAGGAGGCTAAGGTGAGACGGTCACTTCAGATTAGCGTCGCCTGCGCAACACATTGAGATCCCTGTCTCTACAAAAAATACAAAAATGAGAAGGGCATTGTGGTGTGCACTTGTAATCCCAGCTAATCAGGAGGCTGAGGTGGGAGGATGACTTGAGCCTGGGGAGGCAGAGTTTGCAGTAAGCTGAGATTGCACCACTGCACTCCAGCCTGGGGGACAGAGCCAGACCCTGTCTCAAAAAAGAAAATAGAAAAGAAAAAATAAGTAAGTTTAGCTGGGCGTAGTGGCTCACGCCTGGAATCCCAACACTTTGGGGGGCTGAGGTGGGTGGATCACCAGAGGTCAGGAGTTCCAGACCTAACTGGATAACATGGGGAAATCGAGTCTCTACTAAAAATATGAAAGTTAGCCAGGCCTGGTGGTGGGCGCCTGAATCCTAGCTCCTCGGGTGGCTGAGGCAGGACCTGGGACGCTTGAACCTGGAAGGTGGAGGTCGCAGTGAGCCGAGAACGAGCCACCTCACTCCAGCCTGAGTGAGAGAGCGACACTCTGCCTCAAAAAGAAATAAATAGGTTAGATTGTGGAGATGTCTGTAAATGTATTAAAAATCATTGAATTATACACTTAAACACATTTTCTAATATATAGCTTACGGCAGGGCACAGTGGCTCACACCTGTAATCCCAGCTATTCGGGAGGCTGAAGTGGGAGGATGACTTGAGCCCGGGGAGGCAGAGTTTGCAGTGAGATAAGATTGTGCCACTGCACTCCAGCCTGGGGGAGAGTGAGATCCCGTCTCAAAAAAAAAAAAAGAAAAAAAATTGATATATATATATAGAATTTGGCTTATACTTGGATGAAATTTCAAAATAAAACAAAAAAATGGACATGGTTCTGTAAATGCTTCGGTGAAAAGATACCTGTAATATGATGTCAAGTTAAAAAGTCAGGTTCCAAGGCCGGGCGCAGTGGCTCACACCTGTAATCCCAGCACTTTGGGAGGCCGAGATGGGCAGATAACCTGACATCAGGAGTTTGAGACCAACCTGGCCAACAGGGTGAAACCCTGTCTCTACTAAAAATACAAAAATTAGCCAGGAGTGGTGGCAGGCGCCTGTAGTCCCTGCTACTCGGGAGGCTGAGGCTGGAGAATCACTTGAACCCGGGAGGCGGAGGTTGCAGTGAGCCCAGATCACACCACTGCACTCCAGCCTGGGTGATGAAGTGAAACTGTGTCTCAAAAAAAACAAAACAAAAAACCACACACACAAACCAAACCTGGTTAACAAGATTCCAGTTTTTACTTTTTTTCTGCATAGATTGAGATTTTACATTTAGAATGAATTCAGGTATTATTTGTATAATTATTTAAGTAAAGGAAGACAGGAAGGGAGGGAGAACGAGAGCGAGCACCCATGACCCCCAGTTCCCGGCTGCGAGGCCTGCTCACCATAGGGGGTGGTGGGCCCCAGCTCACTGGCCGCCTCTGCCATGTACTGTGCCAGCAGCTCCCCGTTGGTGACCCGTGAGGGGACCTTCCTGTCCAGCTTCTCATACAGGAACTCCTCCACCCGGGCACCTGTGGGGAGACAGCAGCCAAAGCCACAGGGCTCCTCAGTCCAAGCCCAAAGATGAAACAGGAACAGACCCAGACCCGGCCCTGCCCACGGAGCACCTGGCCTGCTGACTTCCAGAATACTCTCTTGCTCATGCCCACCTCAACCCTGAAACTGCTGCGAGGGACCCAGCACTCTGCAGAGAAGGAAGCCGGGGCCGTCCACTTCTCCCTTAGCAATATGATTACCAAACGTAATACTTGCTTGCAGACCTCCCTCCTCCTGGCCCTAAAAGTTATCTGGCCGCAGAGAACATTTGCAGGTGGACACGCAGCTTGACCCAGAGCCACCCTCCTTTCCCCGAAAGTCCTGCAGGTTGCTCGTGCTTGACCCTGGGGGCCTGCCTGGGGGTGGTCTGGGCAGTCCCTTCATCTCTGGGCCTCGCTGGCCTCTTGAAAATGACCAGGTTTGGGCCAAACACAGTGGCTCATGCCTGTAATCCCAACACTCTGGGAGGCTGAGGTGGGTAGACGACTTGAGGTCAGGAGTTTTGAGACCAGCCTGGCTAACATGGTGAAACCCCATCTCCTCTAAAAAATACGAAAATTAGCCAAGGGTAGTGGTACATGCCTGTAATCCCCGCTACTTGGGAGGCTGAAGCAGGAGAAAAGCTTGAACCCAGGAGGCGGAGGTTGCAGTGAGCCGAGATCGTGCCACTGTGCTACTCCAGACTGGGTGACAGAGCAAGACTCCCTCTTAA